ACCCCAGGCCTGGCTCCAGGGTGGGGCCCCGGCTGCGCCATGCCGGGCAACGTCATGGTCCTTGATCGTAATCTAGTCATAAAGGGCTTTTACTCTACTTTTCACCTCCTTTTTTATTCCGTGTTTGTTCCGCTTTTTATCCCTTTCTCTGTTTCCCCATCACCTCTTCTTTCATCAACTTTGACTCGCTAGCTTGCTTTCTTCCTCTCGGTCTTCACACCATTCAGGCCTCTGACTAACTACCCTGCTGTGCCACGGAAACAAAGACACACACTTAAGTCATTTACTCCTGAAACCCCCTAATTTTGTAAACCCTGTGAGTGTGTGTGCTTATAACTTGAAAAAAAGGCTAACATTACAGCAGTTTTAGACCCATCTTACACATGCACATGGGAAGGAGAGTCACTTGCATGCAAACACAAATATTAGATAAAATACATTTATCATGTATATAGGTTTGGCACAGATGGAAAGACAAAAACAAAGAAAAACCTTTTTGCTGAACAAAATCAGTGCTCCACTAAGAGAATGTCCAGGCTTTTCTGGTTCTGTGCTTCAGCACATTCAGTTGGAAACTAAATAAAGGATGCAACATTTAAGTGCAGAGTTGGAGCTTTCATTCAAATATGCAGAAGTCAGTATAGAAAGAACTGTGTGGAAGGTGTAGCCCTTTAACACACAGTGTTTAAGGGTTCAAAAATAATACGACAGGTACACATAGAGCCTAGCAAAATCATATTTTCCAAAAAAGCATTTGCATTTGGTCTAGTAGACTGTTTGCCATTTTCTAGTTTTCAAGTACACACCTGTTCTTTTTTTTCTACATCCAACTGTTGATTATGGCAAACCAATGATATTACTCTGATAGATTTTTTTTTACCTATATTAGTCTTCACTTGAACGGTCACATCTTTACTCCTCATAGTGGCAAACGCCTCGGTCTTCTCAATCTCAGTGGCAAATCAACTCTGAGACATGAACCAATCTTCAAACACAAATGTGAACCTGTACAAATATTTTGGACTAGGCGGTAACAATAACACAGCTGAGATTTGAGAAGGGAGTGTAGCTCTGACCCAGTAACCACGCTGCTGTGAAAAGCCATACTTCCAGAGACTGCCCAGGACCTTTATCAAACAAGTATGGCTTCATATCACTCAGAGAGGAAGCTGCTTTGATTTGACCACAAACTATTTCACCAAGTAGCTGGCACACATGCATTATATTGAAGTGAAAATAACATATGGAAGAAGGCTGCATCCAAAATGAAAGTGGTTAAGAAAAGCAACACATTTATAGAGTAATGAAAGTAATTTTAGGAATTCACATATGTGATCTCCTTGCTCTGAGACAGGTTTTTTTCTAGCCCCAACATTCTTTTCTATAAAAAAAAAAGACATAATTATACATAGTAAATGGCTCAGTGACTATTGACAATTTTTCTTTGCAATTTCTCTTGCTCAAATAAGGCTTGGAGATATTAGATACCTACCATTATTTTGCATAATACTGCTCAACAAAATCAAGTGTCTTTTCATTATAAATGGAGGAGCATTTTAACACTTTGTCCCCATGAAAGCACAAACTAAGTGGAGAAGCTTTGCATGTTTTCAGTGTTTAATGACCTGTTGTGGCTGTTGACCATAAAAAGCCACCAGTCAACTTATAGGTTTAGGCGAGTTAGAGGGAAAGCAAGAGCTAGTCATTCATTACTAGAACCACTGACAAAACAGAATTGTACAGTGTAAAAATTAACGTAATATTATTTTACCGCTTTCCATTCATGCTGACACAAGATGTGATCTCACTAATTTCATAATTGTGTTGTTTGGGCGACAAACTAGTTTTAATTCTGACCGGTGTGTGTGTGTGTTGTTATTTTCTATTTTCAGGCGTTTCTCTCTAACTAAAAATGGACATGCATTTAGCTGTGTCACTTACTTCCCTGATTCTGTTGTAAAAACCCCTTACTCATGCTTCAGACATGGGTGAATAGTTCAAGCCCATCAGACTTCACGTCTGTAAAATAGCATAAATTAACAGTATCTTATCTATAGTTTTCAGAACGACACTTATCTATGCAATCTACTCTTGCACAATTATCCAAGAAAATAAGAAATACTACAAGTTGACCTGCAGCTGAAAATTATAACTATTGTGCATGCATAAGAGCCAGGTTAATACTGATACATGGTGCTGCTAATGAAACACAGACAGTCATACCAAACTTTATCATTATAAAAGCAAAATAATACTAACAGTAAATAAAACAACTGCAACTCCTGAAATCCAATTCTAACAATCCCCCCTTCGACATGATTTAATCATGTCGATCAAACATGGTGAGGAGTTATGTTTCTGTATTGGAAAACCGATCCACACCTAGATGACCACAAGACAGGGCCCCAAACTGTCCTGATCACCAGGGACGGACAAGTCATCCAACCAGGGGAGGATCGAAGTCCCCCTTTTGGAGTCTCCCTGAGGTGTAAGCAGTTACTTCGTTGCATATATGACCTACAGTATATGTGAGCGGATATGTGTAAGCTGTTCTTCGTTGCATTAAAGTAACTGCAAGCATTCTTCCTTGCTCATAGCCTGTGGAAATGATAAACATTATGTGTAACAACTAATAAACATTAATTATAGCACAAGCTAAACCATCCTGTCAAGAGACACATAACATTTAGTGACAAATAAGAAACATGTGGGTTAAAACGCGCTATCAAGCCCAAATTGCGTTACACGGCAGCAGTGTAACTCAGGATCAATTTACCCAATTATTCAGCTTTTTTGGGCACAGTTATGGTAATTCCTGATGTTCGTTATTTTTTAAAATGTACAAAAAGTTGGATATCATCACAGGCATTAATGTAAAGTTAGTTAAAGGATATGAGGTTAAGACCAGTCGAGCGACATTCTTGAAACTGCAAAGTTAAAATCAATGACTGACCGTGAATTACTCGATCATTTCCAGTGGCATGCGCTTTTGTTGCACTGACGAGGAGGTGGCCAGCTCCGGCTCGTTGTCGTAAATCCCTTAAACAGTCTAAAATAGACAAGGATGACTTCAACGTTTACAATATGCTGTGATTCAACGCTTACAGAATTTTTCTGCCGGTCTAAGACAAACCCATCTATAGTCAAACTCGGTGCAGCGAAGTTCGCTTCAACTTCCTGTATGCGAAATTTCAAAATAAAGCATTTTTCTTTTATGATTGCGGAAGCTGCAATAACGGTTTCAATGCTGCCATCTAGAGTATGTTTAGTGTACTACTCTAAACAAAAATATACATTTTATGAAAATACATACATTATCTCTGTATGAATGTATAAAAAAGAAGGCGTTATGTTTTATGTGTACATGTTTTTATGATTCTTTTACTTTGGGCTGTTAAAAAAGAATATTGTGACTTCTTTGATATAACAGTTTATTGTGTGCCTTTGCATGCATAGATAAATCCAGCAATTTTCTGAAAAATAAATAGTGGTTGCACTCTTTAAAGTAATGGAAGAAGACACTCATTTCCTTTAGTCTATTTAAAAGTATATTTATCACAGTGTAAAACAAACCTTCTCTGATACACATAAAAGTCTTGCATTCAAATCTTTACTTAAGTAAAACTACAAAGCATTATTTATTAATCACGTTCTGAAAGGTAACTAAAGTTATCAAATAAATGCAGTAGAATAAAAAGCATAACTTTTGTCACTGAAATATCAAGTCAAGACGCAGAAAATGAAAATAGTCAAGTAAAGTACAAATACCAAAATTGTATTTAAGTAGGCTACAATATTTGAGTAAGTGTATTTAGTTACTTTCCACCACTGGTCTAAGATCAGGTTATTGTTCCTCACAATAAATGTCTTTCAAAACTGGTTCACTGGTTTTTGAAACAAAGCAAAAGCATGCACATCTAATAGGCTTATATAATATGTGGACATAAATAGCAGTGTACCAAAGAACCAAACCAACCTATAGCCTACATTTATTTGTATTATTATTATTATTTATTTGTTTATTTATGTTGTTGTTTTACATATAAAAAGACAAACAGAAGAACATTGTTTATACCAACTATTCTGAAACATAGGCTAGGTCTGTGTCACTGGACAAAGCTGATAGCTTGAGAAACCAATTGTGATTGTATAGTGGTTAGTACTCTGTGCTGTAGCTGCAACAACCTTGGTTCAAATCCAGGTCATGACAGCTCAGATTAAAAGTATAAATAGGTTGAATGCTTGCAAAAATCACAGTGAGCCAATTTTTAGTACTGTGTGAACTTCCCACAGGTTTTGTTCTTTCTGTATTACATCGTGCACTGGGCTGCAGCCTGGATAGGTGCGGTGTGTGTTAGATTCCCTGCCACTGAACGCCCTCATGATCAAAGCATGGGTGTTATTCTTTTTGGAATGTTGACCTGATGGATTGATCTCACTACCAACCACAGGGATTCATTCATCAGGCACCATAACAAATAGTTAAACCTGGCTTAATGTATTCAACACTGTGACTAACACCCCTGAGCAACCCAAATGTAGTGCAATGACAGGTAGTGTCCAGTGGATGTCGACTTTGAAGAGTGTACAGAGAGGATAGGTACAGCCTATTGGATGTGTACAGTAGTCTTTTTCAGAGAAACCTACCTATAATTAACATAAACAACTGAAGTTTAAAGGTATGAATCTTAGATTTATAAGTCAAAAGGCTTTGACATGAAAATCTTCGCCATGCATTTATATAAACTATATCAATATACATTGATCCCCAGCTACTCTGCAGTAAATAAATTCATTATTTTACCTGCTGAAACAGTGAAGTGACACATGAATGCATCAATTTAATAATAATATAATATAACAGGCTTATACATTAATACGAAACGGGACATTATGACTACTTTTTACTTTTAGTACTTGAAGTATATTTTTATACTAATACTTTTGTACTTACACTGCAGTACAATTTTGAATACAGGGATTTTATTTGCCTCATTGCGTTCTTGCTATTCTAGGTAAAATATATGAGCACTTTTCCCGCTACTGTTTGTTTAACCAAGGTGAAATTGAATTGTCTGTGCTACTACCACGGGTAGTACTTTTCGCAATACAGTACCCTATTTTTGCCTTACAGTAACGTCATCCATTCATTCATGGGTTGGTTTTTACAGTGCCCGCGGGAAGGTGTTCCTCACGGGGAGTAGCTGAGTCTCCCTCCCTCTGTGTGCGTCGCTCCCTCCATATTGGAATGCTGGATGTGGAGAGGGGGAAACAGGAACAGGCGACGAGAGAGAGGGAGAGAGAAGGGCACATAGTCAGGAGCGAAAAACACTATCTGCAACTACTCACATTTGAAAGAAGGGATTATTTGCAGTCTGTTAACAGCTTGTCGTACCCGCAAAGTCCACTAAAACCTCTCAGACGTCCCCTGGAACAAGTCAGTGTGAGTAATATTGTGTTTCTGTGATTATTTCAATAGCTAAAAGAAATTATAGGATGCGGTTCGTCTTGACTGCCGTTTAGCTGTTTCGTTTCCTAAACACGTGAACCATTATCATTTATTAACTTTGTGTTAGCTGGAAAATAACGGGTAAGTTATCTGAGCTTTACAGCAGCGTAACAAGGACGTGGTTTTTCTTCTAACTTAGAGGAGTTGAAAAGAAGAGCGGCTTTAAACCACCAAACTCATCGCCACAGTCACATGGACTGAATGTGGAGTAACGTTAACCCTGACCCGCGGTAAATAAGTGTACCGGATTAACCTACATCTTCTAAATCTCCGTTTCAAGTGTGTATTTGTTCCTGGTATCACAGATTGGTTACCTTGAACTGAAGGGAATGAACTAACTGAACTCTTCTTTCTTCCGTTAGCTATGTTTTATCTATTCCTGTAGTTTGGTATGAAGACTTTCATAATCCTAGCAAACTGACATTTAGGGAGGTGAATGATATGATGTACCTGCCAACACTCCCTCTCATTTTGCTGTTTGGCGTTGTGATAGGCAAACACAGCAAATCTAGTGCATTATACAAAGGGCACACATCCACACATTCAGTCTTGTCATTAGGCCTGAAGCAATTAGTCAGTTAAATCAATTATACACTCCACAAAAAAATTAACATTTCAATAAACTATTATTCATTTTAGGTGTTTAATCCAGAACAGTGCCAAATATGTACTGCTCTGGTTTTTTAACTGCGATGATTTGCTGCTTTGCTCAGTATTTAATTCATAATTGAGTATGTATGACAAAACAAGAACACACTGGCCTCTTATTAACTGAATTCATGTGTGTACATATTGTATGCTTATAGTGTTATAACCTGAAATTACTGTATGGTAGGGTAAGACTTCATTGATCCCACAATGGGGAAATTCCAGTATTGGTGCAGTACATTAATATTTCCTTGCATATTGAAGAATCTTTAAGTTTTGTCAGAAAAGCAGATTTCTTATAAAACAAATTTCCCCATTAATCCCTTAAAATAAGATCAGACACTGTCATTGCCAAATACAACTTAATCTTATGCAAAGCTGTTAAAGTGCTGTGGTGCTGCTGAGCCTGCTTTGTCTCTACTTCATATTCCAGATGCAAGAACATGCAAATGAATTGCAGTATCTGGAGCCACTGAGGCTTCAGACTCACTTTATCCTACAAGAATGCTTCTCTGCATACCTAAATCTGCAGTACTGTGAACTTAAAGCAGTAGTTTTTATACTGATGTGATCTGTGACTGTTCGTGTGGAAATGTCTAGAGGTTCCTTTTCAGTCATTGGTTCATTTTAGATACAGTCATTGTGATATAGTACAAGGTAAATCCCGCACTGATATTTTCAGTTAACTGCTTGATTGAGGTAGAGTAAACGCACATAGGCGCTCATCGACTGGAATGAGTGTAATAATTGTTGTGGTGTGACAGTAAAACCAGGGAAGTTCCTGTCACCTGAATAATAGCTACTCTCATGAGAAGAAAGTGTTTGCCAGGATGAGGTCCTGCAGACACCACTTCCTACAATGAAGCGAGCCAGAGTTTTAATGCTTAGTCTCAAAACACATAGCACTAACTGCTGTCAGCTGGGAAACTATATCATCTTGTCCAGTTATTGGAAATGACATCATCAGAGCTTTTACAGGTTTAGGATGGTGTTTCTGAATTAACAAAACAGGCTCACACTGCTAATTAACTTATCCACTTGATGAGCTTGGATTTAGCTTCACTCCAACTGCATTCATTCAGCTCACTTAGTGTGACCAAATACTACACACATGAAGAATGGTCTTTGACTGCAAATTTATATGGGCAGTGATCGCTTTGTGTGGAAATAATGATGGCACTCGACCTTCAAGAGTGTTGAAGATGTTCTGATTTGACTGAACTCCATCCCATTCATGTGATAAAAGTATAGCCTGAGTCTAGTAGTTTGGCCTCACAGGGCCCAAATGAATACATTGTAATCCTTTATCTCGAGCAGAAACCTATCATTACCTTCTGTGGATGAAACAAGCAGAGAAGAAAGTTTTGCTTCAATTTCTGAAACATGTTATGTGGCTCTGGGAAATTCCTTCATATGGACCATCTATTCTTTAGTTTTAAATGTTTTTTAACGTATACATTACTGTAGGATTGTTATTTTGTAGTATTCTGTGATAGATGTCACATAGCAAATGGCTACACCATTCTGACTCGACGCCTCCTGTGGCTGGTCTAATACAGGCACAGCAGTGGTGTGTGTGTTTGTAAATTGCAGAGCAGTGCAGGAGGCCTGTATTTATAGAAACACTTGACTACACTCAGGGATCTTACAGGAGCAGTCCAATACATTACAGAGGAAGCTACAGCTTGTATTCCACTTTTTCTTTTTCTTTCCTGCAAGGTTGTCCTCTGTTTTGGTCCATATTAAAATTATCATGCTCACAGTTATCTACTATGTGTTCCACTCAAGTTTTTTAGTCTATTTTAGACAGACACACAGAGACAGAGAAAAACTAGAGATACAAAAGGGTAACAAAGCCAGCAGTGTAGTGTCAGCAGATTGCAGTATGTGATGTGACTCATAATGGCTTTTAAGTATGATGGCAATCAGTACAAGCACATACTGTGTGTGTGGAGGTATGTAGAGCCCCTGAATAAGAGTGTCTTTTTAGTGTGTGTGTGTGTGTGTGTGTGTGTGTCATGGGGAATTCATGATACCAAATGAAGTAATTCATCTGGGGGGAAAAACAAGGACCCTGCTTGTTTCCTTGCAGTATAAATAAATTATATTGTATTTTCCTTGCAAATACTGTTCCAGTTTTGGGAGTGATTTGCCATTTTGTACCTGCTGTGTAAATACTTGCAGCTGTGAGCAGGTCTAAGCCGTTAACTCATGTCCTCAACGAAAGAAAAGAATGCTATTTGCTCACTGACCTCAGGAAGAAAAAAAACCCATGAATGAACAGTTAAACTAAGCAAATGGGATTCTTTGTTGTGCACCAGTAACTCCATTTGGAAGGATGACTTGCATAGTGTATGTGTGTGTTTAGCAGCAGGGGCAAATGCAGGTCCATTCCCTTTGCTTTTGGGTTGGTTGTTTTCAGGAAGCAGCCCCCACATCCCTCCATGCACACACTCACAGTGCACTCACTGTGCGTCCTAAAACATGCTGTGTCCCTCAGGAGCTGCAAGGAAAACACCTTCTTCCTCTCAGCACCACCAGCAGTACTACTCAGACCTCTCAGTGTGTTTGTGTGTGTGTGCGTGTTCTTGTTTGTGTGTTGGTGTACTCTGGCCAAAATAATTAAGCAAAAAAGGAGCAGATTAATCAGTGACCTCTGTATTTAATTTCCAGTTATTTATTCAGGATTTTCCTTTGTCGCCCATCGGTATAGGCCAGTCTTTTCAGAGATTATTTTCCACAGCAAACCAGATTGGTGTGTCCCTGATTCTTTTTTTAATAACCTGAAACTAAATCGAGCAATTAGACTGTAGTGTCTGAATTCACAGTGGACTCTAATGATTGTGTTTGAGTGCATGTAGTTTGAATTATTGCAATCTGTATGACAATCTTGTGAAGCCAGGTGGTTATGTACTTTACAGTTATTGCCTTTCTTCTGTGGTCAAAGTTACTAAACATCTGTAAGTTTAATGGAAGACTGTTTTAGCAGGTTTTCTGAGTTGTTTTAGATGAACCACTGTGCAGTACAGTGTGCTTGCTGTGTGCACTAAGATTTACTACAATTGCAGGAAATGACATCATAGTTAATGGCTTGTCCGTCCTTAGGGCATGCACACACTTATGCAAGGAAGGACACACACACACTTGGAGATAGCTACCTTCACTCATACGGGACACCTGTGCAGTGTGTCAGCTAATGATGAATGGAAATGGAGCACAGTGATCTGGTGTATATCTGTGTGTGTGTGTGTGTGTGTGTGTGTGTGTTTGAGTGTGAGTCAGCAAACTAATGGCTGCTCTCTTGTTCCTTAATTTTTACCAGAGTTAAGCAGTGACTGAAGTGCCCTCTAAAAAAGAACAATTACAACTGCAGATGCTGGAAATAAGTCCCCCTTCTCCCTCTGTGTGTGTGTGTCTTGTATTTGAGTGGACAGTCAGCATAATTACATTGCAGTGAGTCAGAGAAGGAGAGAGAGAAAGAAGCAATTGTTGGGCTTTGTTGTATAGACAGAAAGAAGAGGTGGGAGGAGGAGATTGCTGAGTGGAAAAAAGAGACAACAGAAATGGAGAGAGGAGGCAAGACGAGTGGAAGAGAAAGGCTCCTGAGATATGTTGTGTCCCTAGATTTTTTTTTTAGCAAATGAAAACATAATGTATGTGTTTGTGCATATAAATAATGTATCATACCCAGGCAACATGAACCAGGCTATCTTGTTTTAGCTTCACGGTTAGGATGTTTAATGCTCACAGTGGCTATTGTGCAGTAAAAACCAATTGGCGATAAGGATCTTGACCCCCACTGTCCTTGTTCCTGTTGAATAGTTATGTCTCAGGATATGACACCACATGCACTTTGATCAAGCAATAAAAATACATGGATCAGAGTAACTGGTGTTACTGTAGCTATTTATTGTACTGACATGAGAAGGGCATTGTTCTTCTATTAAACAGTGATTTAATTGTATGTATGATACATGAGCATACGTATTTGCTGCTGTGTGGTTACTACTTTAGAATAATTGTCATTTTGCTTAACCTTCTACCAGGACGTTTACACAACAACATCCATATATTTGACAGAGATGATCAAAATAAACAATGGTTTTATTAAGTTAGTACTGTCATTTAAGATATTTGACTTGATGTCAGTAAAACTGTCTCTTGACCTGTGTGATGGCTGATTTACTCAGTCATACCGAAACTTTTTCTGATAGTGCAGCTCAAGTCATGGGTCGGATAGTCTTTACATTGTTTAAAGTCAACGAAGAAATGTTGGGCTATCGTTTAGTGTGTATACTAGTATAGAGTCAATGACTGGTTTTCAGGTTAAAAGTGGACACAAAACCTTTCGTAAATCACACGGTACTTTACTGAAAGAGAAATGAGACCGAGGCAGCCATCAGTGTCTGCTTGGTCAATCATATGACCTCATCTCTTCTGTAGATTAAGATTCAGAGCCACAGATGCACAAATACAATGCACCCACACACCCACAAAAACACACATTCATAATAGATCTGCAAGAAACACAAAGTGTGTGAGAGAGAGATTAGCAGTGAAACATCTGGTATGACATCACACGCACACTTGCGCAAGGTGGTGTGCTACCATAAACTCATTACTTGTTCACGGTGTGAGGTTGTGTGTCAGTAGATATGTGTCTGTCTTAGTCACCAGTAATTACACACATGTAAGAAAGGTTCATTGAAAATTTGCCTTGAGGCTGTCTGTCTCATCCTCTCTTTATCTTTTTCTGTCTCGAATTTAATTATTGGATAAAGTAATTTGAAACACTAGACCTGGGGTGCCCAAAGTGGGGCCCGCGGGCCAAGCTTGGCCCACGGAACATTTGTTTTGGCCTGCGGGGACATTTCTTGGCCCCCCACAATTTATTATGCCACCCCAGTTGTCAGGTCAAGCAGCTCCCAGCCCGCCAATAAAACAAGGAGAAGAAGAAGAAGAAAAAAGAAGAAGAAGAAGAAGAAGAACAACAACAACAACAACAACAACACGAAGAACGGAGCAGTAGCAAGCAACATGGAGAGCAGTAGACAGTGGCACACAGACAAAAGTCATTTTAAACGAACCTGGGAGGAAGAATATTTTTTTACGGATATTAATTCTAAGGCGGTCTGCTTAATTTGCGGTCAGTCTGTCGCTGTGCTAAAAGAGTACAATATCCGCCGGCATTATGAAACGAGGCATGCAGCATTCTCAAGGTTCAAAGGCGAGGCACGGAAGACAAAGAGACGAGAGTTGTTAGCTAAACTTCGCTCACAACAAAACACGCTCACACGACCCTCGTCAGCCCAGGAAAGCGCAACACAGGCCAGCTATGAGATTTCAGCTCTAATTGCCAGGAGTGGACGTTCATTTTCTACAGGGGACTTTGTTAAAGAATGCTTATCCACGGCTGCAAAGCTAGTGTGTCCCGCTCAGGCAAGAGCTTTCTCCCAGATCAGCCTCTCAGCTAATTATTACGGAGATGTTTGACCACATAAAGGCCTTTCAGAGAAAACTGCAGCTACTGTGTCGACATCTGTCAGCAGGTGAGTTAATGCCTTGCACAAAATACATCATTTTAATGGTAATGTGATCATGTGATGCGGAGGAACAGAACTGTCAGTTGTATGATATGTGGAATATGACATTACTAGTGAGTGAAAATTGCAATATTTATTGCATTGATACTTATTAATCACTTTTTACTTTTTTTCAGGAAACCTGGCTCACTTCCCCAGTCTGAGAGAGGTAAACCTGGTACAACACAAACTGTCTGAATATGCAACACTTGTCAGCAACCTAGACCTGGAGTTTGAAATGCGCTTTCAGGACTTCAGGAAGAATTCAGGTGACATGGAGCTGTTTTCCCAACCCTTCAGCACAAGTGTGGACTGTGTCCCTGATCACATTCAGATGGAGCTGATTGAGTTTCAGTGCGATTCAGAGCTGAGGAATAAATTCATGTCACTGAAACTGAAGGACTTCTATACACGTCTCACCAGAACGGTACCCAAACATTAGGAAGCATGCACAGGTGATGTTATCTCTGTTTGGCAGCACCTACATTTGTGAACAGACTTTCAGTGTAATGAACCTTAACAAAACCAGGCTCAGAAGTACTCTGACTGATCTACACCTGCAGGACGTTCTCACCCTCTCAGTTAGTCGGCTTCAGCCTGATATTGAGAGGCTGGTCAAAGCCAAAGACCAGCTTCATGTGTCTCACTAATACTGTCAAACTGCTGCTGTTTGCAGTTAATATGGACATGCATATGGACATAATTTGTGGTTAAATAAAGATTCATTTGCTTTGTATTTTCTTCCTGTTCTTTGTACAAAGAGTGAAATGTTAAATACCTTTATAATAAACACATTTCAATCAGAAAGTGCACCAGGAAACACCCCCCTGCTGCCACCACCGCCCACCTCAGCCCAGTAACGCATTTTCATTTTGGCTTTCCGAGGGGAAAAGTTTGGGCACCCCTGCACTAGACAAAATATGGAATTGGAGGTTTTGCTACTTTATGAAATGTTTAATTAATATATTGGTTGTTCAGGCACAGTAGAGAATTACCCTAACCCAGATAGACTTTTTAGCTAAGAAACTCAAGGAAAAACCTTTCAGAGTTTTGGTCTGATAACGGCAGAGTTGTTCTCACACTATAGACATCATTGACATTGAAAATATATTACCACTAGAGGGCACTGTTAACACATCAACTCATCATGCAGGCACTCTGAGAGAGGGAGATGGAGTGGTCCAGCATGGATCCACCTTCTAACTGAGAGAATGCGATGTGTGTGACATCTTGGCCTACTAATCCAGTGGCTCATTAATCTGCTTTACTCCTGAGCCACTCTTGTGTTGTTTGTTTGCTTGTGTATAAGAGTGTCTGTCTATGCATGTCTGTGTTTGTGTGTTCTAGAGAGCGACAGAGAGAGTGAGATAAATATATTATATGGCCATGGCTCATTCAGTGTCCACTGTGACCAGTATACTATGACGGACTGAATGTAACATCTAAAATCAGTGGCAGCATGACAGCACACTGAATCATGGCACTAACAGTGGGAAAGGTCATGTGGATAGGTACTGTAAGTAGAAGGTGCAGTGACTTTTCCTCTTGTACCACCTTGAATTTAGCATTTGTGGTTTGAGTGAAATGACTCAACAAGTATGAAATGCAATAAAGTCTGGTACATACATTCACACACATAATTTTAATGAAGCCTTAACTAATTTAGTGCCACCAGCAGGTCAGAATTGAAATGTATCCACCACTTTGTTTTCCAAGGTGGTAGACCTGAGTAGGTGTCAGTGTGTTGTGAGTTCACACCTTACAAAACACAGTCCGTGAAACAGTTTCCCTGTTCCCCATTTCCTAGCTTTTTTTGGCTCTGAAGATGGATGAATTCTGCAGGGCAGTGTTGAAAGCTCTGCATTATGACTAATTGAGTAGCTCCTCGGGTTCATTTGTGTCAAAGGCAGCACAGCTCACGCACACATTGTTTTAAATAACCCCTATTCTAATCCCTCTCTTGTTAAGTCATTCGCAGCTGTATCTTTTGCCCCTGCACTGTTTCCTCCACTTTTCTCTGCTTTTTTCCAACTTGTTCCATTGCCTTTTTTTCTTTTTACTCATCCTTCATCTGTCTTTCTCATGTTTTCTTGCAATTGTTGCATCATCTTTTTCTGTCACTTACAGTGTCTTGTCCTCCTCACTTGTTTTCCTCTGTCTCCTGTACATCTGGCTCCCCCAAGCCCCCTCCATCCCTCCCCTGGGAGATTACCCTTCCCCCTCCCACCCTACTTTTTTCTCTTTTGCTTCCCTTCCCCCTTTCACAGTCATAGGCTCCCTATTGCTTCTCTCTCTCTCCATCCTTTCCCTCTTCCCTTTACTCTACTCCCACTCTTGCTGCTATGTATCTCTGTGTCTGTATATTACCAGTAGTAGTAGTAGAAGGAGGAGCAGGCTGAGTTATAAACTTAAGTGGACATTAGACATCATTACTGCGTTAGCTGGCTAGCACATCACAACGCTAACCCAAAGACCACAGAAGCCCAGGATTGTGTCTTTTCTCATTTAGCTTTCTTTCAGTGGAGGGTTACACTTATTTCTCCTCTCCACTCTTCTCTTTGGTACTTTAAATGGAAGGACTATACCATGGTAAGGATTTGAAGTACAGTAGTACTGTATGTGAGTGTGGATGGTTGTATGTGTGTGAAACCATGTGTGTGCATGCATACACTTATATTTATGCCTTTTGTGTTTAAAATGAGCACAAACCACACTTGTAAAGATGTCATACAGTTGCTGGTTTCAGAATCTGTAATAATGTGATGATATTTTTATATTATGACATTTTATAGACAAAATAAGTGAAAAAAGGACAGCTATAATTGCATAAAGGAAGTTATGGGCAGTTCTAATTTAACCATTCCAGTTTCTGTTCTGTTCCATTCTGTTCACCATCTGCTGCCCTTATGATGATTGAGATGTGTGTGTGTGTGTGTGTATGTAAGAGAAAAGACATGCAAGTGTGTGGTTGCCTGCATGTAGGAGGATTCAGTTTGAAGTGTGCATGTGCAGTGATGGGGGTTAGTGCTACTTCTTCGCGTATTTGTATGGCTAACTGTCTCTGTGTGTGTAAAACCATGGGAGTGAGGACATATTGGCCCGTCGTACTTTCTTGCACAACTTCAAAGAACTATTTGAGCATCAGGACTTGGTTTTAGGTTTCAGGTTAGGTTTAGTGTTCGGAGTAGGGAATGGGTTGGGGTTAGACATTTAGTAGTGATGGTTAGGGTAAGAGGCTAGAAGTAATGGTAGAAATGCAGATGTGTGTGGGGGGGAGGCAGTGCAATATACAGTATGTGAGGGAGAAATGATACAGTATGTGTGTCAAATTAGTGGGTTGTGTGTTAATGCGAGTGTGCACCCTTATGTAGATCGTTGCCCATGTTCTGTGTGAAAGTGTGTGTAGTGTGTACTTGTGTGTGTGTTTCATATGGATCTAAGCATGAAGTAGCAGTTCCCTGCAGCATTTTGATTCTATGTTAGATCATCTATAGCTCAGGGTGTTTTAATATTTTGGTGGAGATTTGCTAAACAAGAAGCTGAGCTCGAAGCTTCCCTCTCTCATACATGTACACATAGACACACGGAGGATCGTGCACCTTCACCTGCCTTCCATTTAAGCATTTTAGCTGGCATGCCCTCAGATGTCATATTGGATCAATGTGTGAATGGTCCTGGAGCATTTACTCTCACACAGAATATAATGTTTGATTTTCTTTTCTCATGTAGCTTAAGATATCTCACCAATTCATTCATGCTCAGTCAGTGTTGAATTATACATAGAGTATCTGGGCATAGTGTGATAAATTTGCATGCTCCAGTTAGCTTTATCACCGCACCTGAACTACATACACTTGAGTGAACGTATGTGTGTCACAGTGTGTGTGCTTTTGCAGATAAGGCTGTGTGAGCAGTCATGCATTTATGTGATTTTCTTATGTTGCATGCGTGTAGGACTTATCTGGAGTATGCATCATCTGTCTGTATTTGTGTATTGCATTTTATTTTCTGTAAGTGTCAGCACTTCTGTTTGAACACATTACCTGAACAGCTCACCATGGAAGTGTTTTTGTGTTTTTCACTCTAAAAAGATTCATGAAAAACACTGACTTGGCGTCCATCATATTATTAATGCCACCATTATCTATAGCACAATATGGGTCACTGTGTAAGTGAAAACTACTTAAACCTACAGTACATGATATATTTTTAGGGACAAAACATGTTTGTGTGTGGTTGAAAGACTGGCAGGCGTCATTGATGCCTCGGGCAGTCTGTGTTGTCAGGCTTCACACTCTGCTTACACCTCATTGTCCAGAAGGCCACACGCACACACACACATACAAATGCAGCTGCAAGTGTGTGCCAGCTTAGCTTGAAGGTTAACTATTATGCACAACACAGCAAGGCAGACCAGCTGACTGCACTCCTTATGCGCATTCACTTGATTCTCAGAGGAGAGGTGTTGGGCCTCTGCCTGTTTCTTCTCAGCCAGTTTGATCTGTCACTGTTGCATTGAGCATTTTTTTTTCCAAATGTTTGCTTCTGTGTGTCCACCATGACAGCTGTTTCAACCTGTCTATCCTACATATAGAGACGGGTGACAAATTAAAGGAAAACCTGTATAAATAAGAGGTCTCTTTCAGGTTGAAAATGCCACCATCTATACAGCACGAGCCATCAATGAATGGTTCAGTGAGTCTGAAAATGATGTGAATCATATGCTATGGCCTTCGTAGTCACTAGATGTCAGCCCAGGTGGTGGTTTAAGATACTGTATTTCCTACAAGGTCTCAAATCTGCTATACACTGTCAGTATTTTTTCAGCCAGCAGTTTGATTGTACCTAAAATCTGACATCACTGCAGACCAAGTCAAAATGAAGGAGTTTTCCACTTGGAGACAAAAGAAGAATTACATTATTGATGCTTTTACCATTATCCTATTTAAACTGTTATGGTGTTATTAGATTTTTAACTGTAGCTTGCCTTAAAATCTTTTCTGCTGTAGCGGATATTTGTTGGAGCAAGGCTTGGGCTGCATTTACAGGAAGCAAATAATCACATAAATTTCAATTTAAGGCAAATAATAAAAGCTGAAATTTCAAACTCTTCACCTTAATATTATCATTGCGTTTACAGAGTGGCAATATTCTTAGACCATATTGTGTTACATTATAATTATGTAGTGTAATGATGTCATCCCCCCAGGTCACGAGTCACTTTGCTGGAGTTTCATTTCACTGTGTGGGTTTTCATCCTAACATTACATCATCTGTGTTGACAACCCCCGTGTGTGTTTGTGCGCATCAGGGTGTATAAAGCACTTATAGGCACTTAACCCCATGTCCTCCTCCTACAAACAGTCTTGTCACTGCTCTGGGCTTCCTGCGGGAGTTTGCATCTGTATAATGTATGAGGTGCAGTGTACCTGACCCCCCAATAGGGAAAG